TTAACTTTAAATGGTTCACAAGTGCTTTACGAACCAAAATATTTAAAGTCTGCCTGTGACAAGAAGAATTTTAAAAAGTAACATTCGCAGTTTCTGCAGCCTGTTGCTTTCTTATGGTCAACCTAATCGCTTAACTGGTTGTTAGCTTATAGGAATGGTTGAGTCTTACGCTAGCCACTAAATTTTAACCCTTGTATCTAAAAGCTCCAATAATTAACTGATAAAGCGCTTTGAACGAATTTTGTCTGGTCACTTAAAACTTGTGCAAAAGCGACTTGTCCAGAGATCTCCCTTCCCATAAACTAGATTGAAATCGTTAAGAATGGGTGTGTTCCGGTCACTTATAGTTGAATCCATTGAGATAGGTACATGTTAAAATTTTAAATGGGTTCCCAATTTTTATTCTTCTGTATTCACAAAATTTATTAACAACAGTTTTCATGAAAAACTGGTACGAAACTTACCCTTTTAGGGCCTAGCACAAACGATGTATCAAATGGATCATTTTCTAAGATAGGTACTTCAGAATTGAATGCTGTTGCAGCTGCAATACTAGTGTCCATTTGCTCTATGCCCTGAAATTAAAACTCATGTAAGTTCAAGGGAACTTATTATATTACAATATTTTATTCAAGTTCCAAGTCCTAGCGTTATTTCACTGTTAAGAAAAACTCATATTAGTATCATAGTTATCAAAATTTCATGAACTTAAATAATTTTAACCAGGTTGATGATTATACTCCCCATAGTTTCTATGTCTATTTTATGACCGTCGGTGGACAGCCGACCCAATTTTGGGTTTACTACTAGCATTGTAATTTTGAATCCTATCCAGAAGACAAGGGAACTCCTGGATTAAGGATGCCCCACTCTAATGTCATATTTCAGCAATATTTATAACAGGGAACTGTCTTGTGAATTGAAAAGAAAGCAAACATTCTAATTTCAGAAAGGTATTTTTTTTTCCTTTCTCAAATTTAAATACATCAGCTAAAAAAAGTTTTCTGATTTAGTAGTTTAAAATTAATATATTTAAAAAATTAATTAAGCTTTAAGACTTATTTTAAATATCGGATCAATGAATAGGGTGAAGGGTTATCTTTTTTATTCTGCGCTCCAGTTATTTTGCATCGGGTATGTTTACCGGAATATAAAGAAAAACTTGAAGAACAAAATTTAATTAATTTTGTAATGCGTCCTTCGCTCCAGAAAAAAAGTATTTTCTTTTAAAACTCTTTGCGTGTATGTTTAACCGAGTTAAAACTATGATACTAATCTATACTATGATACTATAACTATGATACTAATATGAGCAAGCTTCTTGAAACCGTGAAGGACGTTAGAAAGCTCCTGTTGTAGCCCAATGTTATGCTTACCAGGTGAAGAGACTCGATATTTGTAAAAAGTTTATTATTAAGATTAGGATTTAAATATTTGCCCAATATGGCTACTCAAAATGTTTTCCGAGTTTAAAATATTTAAATCAAGTCACTAGTTTTAAATTGTGAACTAAAAACATTAGAAATAAAAAAAATCAGTTGTCATCTTTTAACTGTTGCCTCTTATTTTGGCTATTTATTTATTTCATATTTTTATGAGATTTTAGAATGCTAAAGAAAAATTTAGAAAAAGTAGTCCGTATAGAAAAAATTATAATTCTTGAAAATTTTATTGAACTCAAGGCTCTGGCATGAAAATGAATCGTTAATAGTAACTCAGAAGCCTTTTTTTACACCAGTGCCACATGCAATGCTATTGAAAATTAGCTTTATGGTTCGGTTATAACCATCCATATTTTGCATTTATATTTAGTTTAGTTATCTAAAAATTTTTAATTAAAGTAATTATTACCTTCTGAAGCTGGTTTAATTCATCCTGTAAACCTAAAAGATCATCAATTGTTTCATAATTTTCTTCTGTTTTAGGTGACTCATCAATCATTTCAGCTGGCTCTGTCATCAAAACTTCCTTTAAAATAATAAAACAAATAACTTTCTTTTTATATGTTTCATGTTTTGATGATACAATTAAAAAAAATTATTATTATTTTCTTTTTAATGTTAGATAATCAGACACCAAAATCAGAAATACAATGTATTTTTATGTATACAATTTTGTTATTCACCAAAATGATTAGATTAAAAATAAAATCTATAAAACAAGCATTGATTTTCTATAAATTTAAGTCATACGAACTAAATATAGTTTAAGGAAGTCATACTTACAAAAACAACATTTTCAGTATTTGCCTTTTCTTCAGTTGAAGAAATTTCTTCTGTTTTACTCTATTATAAAAAATTTAAAAATTTTAATTTTCAACAAAAGTTATATGAAAATGTTCATCATAAAAAACATTTGTTAACAATAGAGAAAATTAATAAAGATGTCACGTTCATTTACTTAGTTCGATGTTCGTAAAGATGACTGTACTGCTGCTAGGTTGTGACATTAGTCCATAAAATGTAACTAAACTAGAATGTTTATTTAGTAAAAAAAATAGTGTTGGTATTGAAGAGCTTAAATGAAACAAAAGATTTGACTCGAATTCCATACTTGAAATTTAATTTGTGAACTANGACACTCTAATCTAGAAATACAGCAACATACTGTGCATGGTGGAATTGATGTTTTCTCTGTCTAGGAGTACTGCAGCGGTTGAAAGAGTCTTTTCAGCAATAAGCTTACAAAAAGACACATTACGTACTGGTATTAAACAAGAAGCGTTAAACGCAATTATGAAATGGAAAACCCCTTCGAACCTATCGAAATGGAAAACCCCTTTCAGATTTCTGTGCAGAAACCTCTGTAAATCATTGGCTTGATTGTGGAACTAGCAAACGTCATATTTGAGTCATTTAAAAAACGCTGTACCCTCGGATAAATTGACATTCCAGATAACTTGACCTTTGTCAATTAAATTATTTCATAAAAGAAATACTAGGTTTTACTTTTAGTAACCTAGTATTTCTTTTATTACTGTATAATGTAATCCTAGTAACTACAAATTCATTGTGCAATTTATATAAATGTTAGTAATAAATAAAAGAAAATTATATTTTTATTTATTTAGAAGCTACGGGTTAGTTTCAAAGGAGGACGGGTACATTGTTGGACAAGCCATCCTCGGAGACGGGTAAAATTTCTGAGTTTTTTCGAGCCCTGATACAAATACAATTTTGTTATTCCCCAAAATGATTAGATTAAAAATAAATCTGTAAAACAATCATTGATTTTTCTATAAATTTAAGTAATATGAACTAAATATAGTTAAAGGAAGTCATACTTACAAAAACAACATTTTCAGTATTTGCCTTTTCTTCAGTTGAAGAAATTTCTTCTGTTTTACTCTATTATAAAAAATAAAAAAATTTAATTTTCAGCAAAAGTTATATGAAATAGTTCATCATAAAAAACATTTGTTAACAATAGAGAAAATTGCTAAAGATGTCACATTCATTTACTTAGTTCGATGTTCATAAAGATGACTGTACTGCTGCTAGGTTGTGACATTAGTCCGTAAAATGTAACTAAACTAGAATGTTTATTTAGTAAAAAAAAATAGTGTTGATATTAAAGAGCTTAAATGAAACAAAAGATTTGACTCGAATTCCATACTTGAAATTTAATTTGTGAACTAGTCAAAACATATAAAATGAGTCAGTTTTGAAGCAATCAAATATGTGTGGCCTGGTCTACTAAACTGAGTTCTAAAAACCACCACTTTTGATAGTTAGTGATTGCAAAAAAATGGAGAATATTTATACTATATTTTTGTTAGAATTTTTAATTTTTGGGAATCTTAGTTATTTGAGTCAGAGATTTCAGATAGTAGGCATTATTATTATTATAGGCTCTTAAGCAGAAAGTTTTTCAAAACTGTGATGTACGTCGCAGAATGGAGTAGAACTAATTAAGTCTCTACCAGGGCTCGAAAAACAGCCCGTCCGCCCGTCCTCGACGGTCAAAAATTCTCCGCGGACAAAGAATTTCTCGAATCCGACGTCCGCGCGGTAATTTCTGAGTTTTTTCGAGCCCTGGTCTCTACTGAACCATTTATTTCCATACATTTCATATGCTGTTCATAATTTTCTTAATGCCGGCCGAGCTGTTAGCGTGCCTGACTGCGAAGCCAATGACTGCGGGTTCGAATCCCGCTCTGGGCATGGATGTTTCTCTCTTTGTTGTCCTCTGATGTGTGAATGTGGCCCGCCCTATGAACGGGTTTGTGGCAGTGTGGCGTGGTCAATGTTGCTCGCCTCCGTGATTTAGGTTCACAGGTGCCCACTGGGTAACGTTAAATGAGCAACACTTCTGGCATCTTCCAAGGTGAAGAACGAGAGTTCAAGTGCCTGCCGTTATTTAAAAAAAAAAATTCATAATTTTCTTAATACAGTCATTCGTCAAAAAGATAAGGAATTTGGTTAACGAGACTTGTCTATTTTTGACGATAACCACAGATCATTTTATGTATCAAAATTCTTGGAGCAGAGCATTCGATATAATTCGGCTGCTAGAATTATAGGTTAATAAAAATACATTATAGTTAGGCTCTAGGTATCATTTTTTATTAATTAGTGAACTTATGTTAAGCAGCGGTTTCATGATATTAACTGTAGTTATCGTTATTTAATTGTAATTTATTATAGGGAATGAATTAAAGAAGTAAATAAAACAAGGAGAAAAGTAAATGAGTAGTCGAATTAGTTTTTAAACAAAATAACGTAAATAGAAAAACAAAGGTTATGTGTTATTATATAGTTTAAGAGCTATAGTTAAGACGTACTTCATTTTGGGGTTGTGTCACCTCATTCTTAGAGGACTCATTCTTGGCATTATCGATTTCTTGCTTTTTGTGAAATAGGACCGTCTGGAATAAATCTCTAATTGCCAAAACGACATGAAAAGCCTGAAAAGGAAAGCATGAAATAAATTAAGAATTGTGATGTATCGAGAAAACAGTTGAAAATTTTGTTTTTAACAATTCCGTTTTTTTTTTTTTTTTTTATATCTGTGATCTGAAACTTTCTTTCTTTCAGCTTGTATGTATTTTTACTTGTTTTCTTTCTTTTTACTTAAGCATGAAAAAAAACAACTCAATTTAATCAGGTAAAATCTGACTTGAATTCGTATTAATCGCTGGATTGTTCGAAGATTAGCCGATGTAAAAAATAGCTTTAGACTTAACTACTCTTGGGACTAGACTATAATATGATGGTTTACTTGCACAAGTATAATGGTAGAAAAAAATTTTTTTTTTGCATTCGGGAACTTAACCATTAATCTTAACTTAGACAGTTCCTCAATTGGCAGAGGTGGACAACTTAATAGGTTTCACTGAATTAAAAAATGTCGTTCTCCATCGTAAAAAATGAAGAACAAGCAAAACTTACTTTAAAATGCTTTATGTATCTTTAAAAATCTTGCTTTTTTACTGTGTGTACAGCATAACGTTTTTATTAGTATTTTTCTGTATTAAAAAATGTGAAAACTGTGCTTCTGAATTCTTTTTCGATTTAAATATTTTGTTAATAAATGTTGTCTAAGTGATGTCTGAAGAAAGGCATTACAAAAAAATGATAGACTATCTCATGTAAATATTGGAAGGTCGTAGTCAAAATGGTAAAACTAATGAAAAATACCTTTCTTTCAAAATTTGATATGGAAATAAAAAATGAATTTAAAAGTAAAGCAGTTACCTGAAAACGTTACTTAAAATATTAGAAAGAATAAAATTTATTACCTTCAGGTATTTCATTAAAAATCATAATTTATTGTAAACTGATTGTG